CGTCACAACCAGTACGTAGCGGTTCCCTCCGTTTGTTGTGGGAAAAGTACCCGTTATATCCATTGCAACCCACTGCCATGGACGGTCTGGCATAGGCATCTCTCCAAAAAAGGCTCAGTCTGGGGAAGGGAGACTCGCTTTTTTCGCGCAAAATTTGCATGTTTGGACCTATGCCCTGACATCCTGAAACAATGAGTTCCAATAAAATCTAGCTTTGACTTTTTCTAGCGTCTTCGTCACCCCAAGATGACCCGCAGAAGAATCGTCGTGACACTTCGCGAGCACATCTTCCATTTGCGCCTTCGGCATAACCACCTGCCGGTACCCAACGCTGTTCCGGACGAGCACACGGATCAGCAGTCCGTGATCATCTATCCGCAGTCTGCCCTGTTGAGACATGTAGTGCTTCACCACTGGTGGTGCAGACGCAGGACATGGATGCCTTCTTCTAATCAGTTCAATGACTTCCGCCAGGTCCTGGCCTTCTTGTTGAGTCAATCTTACTTCAAAGTCACTATCAAGCGTCGTCGCTTGTACCTCTATCGCACATTGTCCTTGGCCGTCATATATAGGGTCGCGGGACAGGGCATCTGCATGCGGGGATCCTGGCCGGTACTGAAGCTCATAGTCCAGCGCTTCCAACTCCAGAATCCACCGCGCCAGATTGCCCCTGGGATCCTTGCTCTGTCGGAGATGAACCAAAGGATTGTGGTCAGTCCGCAGTATGAAGTGCTGCCCATGCAGATACACCCGGAACCGACGACTAGCCTTAGCGAGAGAGAGATACTCTCGCTCGGTTGCAGAGTATCTCCTCTCTGCCTTAGTCAGACTGCGACTAGCATATGCCACAACAAGCTCCCTGCCATTTTCCTCTTGAGTCAGCACCGCCCCCAGGCCTGCATCGCTGGCGTCCGGTGTCAACGTGAACGGCTCCCGGAAGTTCAGGTAGCAGAACGCCGGAGCAGAGATCAGTTCCTTTCAATATTGCAAAAGCCACAGCGCACTCTTCTGCCCATCTGAAGCAAGAGGCACGCTCTAGAAGTCGATGCAGAGGTCTTGCCAGGTGGGCAAACCGTGGAATAAAGCGTCGGAAGTACGAGGCCAATCCCAGGAACTCACGCACCCCCCAATGAACGACGGGGCTGGAAAGTGCTGCGCTGCATAACAAGCACCACTAGGAACAGCTATTCCTCCACAACCTCCATGTCCAGTGTACCCGCCCGCTCGGTGAGCACCTCTACCGCGCACTTCGTGATGAGCACCCTAAAGGTCAATCTGCCAACGCTCGCATGAAGTTCTGCCATGGAGGCTGCCACCGCGTTGACCTGGTCACGGAGCTCCGCCACCTCCTCCGCTACGGCAGACTCCGCCTCCAGCTTCCTCGGCGGCGAAGGAGTCTAAGCCGGAGGTGCACCGCGAACCTGCTCAATCTCCCTTGCCCGCCGCTCCAAGTCGGCCAGAGATTTGTCTTCTGGGACTTGAGGCATCAGCTGCGTCCTGAGATCATATTCCAGGCCAGAAACCTTGACAATCCCCTCTCGAGGGTCAGATGCCCATCCTGGGTAAGCTCGTTCCGCCAGTTGCTGTAATTCATGCAGATATTCAGCTGTTCACTGTCCCAGCTGGCGTCATTATGAGCTTAACTGCAGTGCATAGTCACGTTGCAAGCCAGGTGAGTCAAACTTGGACATCAGCGATTTTCGCAACTCTGTAAACGTGCTTTCACGGTCATCTGGCAAGTGCGTGAAGAAATCATATGCCTTGTAAGACAGTGACACCGACAACTCAATCAGTTTGGTGGTTTCATCAGTCCAGCCATCAATCAGTGCGCAGTGCTCAAACTTGTGAAGAAAACGCCGTATGTTGTCCCTCCCATCAACATCTTTTGGTCTAGCCACTTGGCCACTAGATGCCATGACAGGTGACTTTATCTCTTCCTGAAATGTTGGCTTAACACGCGCTCGGGTAGGGGGTCAAATTGACCCCCCCCCAAGGTTTTTCCGGAACGGGTTCCGAACGACCCGGCGTAGCTGCGCTAAACTTTGCGTAGTTGTAGACCTTTGAGTAGCAAATCGTTTGACATCAACAATTTAGATGTGCCTTGTAAAATCGCTGACCTATGGCAGGTCAAAGTCAGACCATGGTTTCAGCGAAGGCAGTTTCTACGGAACCCTTCAACCTGATCCAACAGCGGAGTGCTAGACGAAGCCACACATCTCTGAGATGCTTTCTTAGGCAGCACAACAATTGGATGAACAATTAACATTGATCCAAGGTCACATATGAAGGTCACACCAAGGTCAAAACCAACCTGTTTTGTTACTCTAGGGCTTGCTGTATGAGATAGTTTCTGGTGCTTATTTCGAGTTTATTGGTAGCAGGAACCGCATTATATACCTTCCATGGGCTTCTTATAGTTCAGAATAGGTCATTGACCTAAAATGATTCAGGTCAACATTTTTTGGGAGGGAACATACTGCCTAGCGTAATCGTTGTCGCCTAGTAGAATGTAAAGCTCAAAGCATTCTTGTATGATTTTGGTTACCTTGACCTTACAATGGTCAAACAAGGTCACTGACCTTGAATGAGAATGTGACCTTTTGTTTAGGAATGGTTATCTAGGTTCTGGGGACACTTTGGAGACCAACCTGAAACTTGAGTTTGTTTGACCTTTTTTGAGCCGAAGGTCATGACCAAGAAATCTGAAATTTTGATCCAAGTGAGTTCACGTACAGATCAACACACCTGGTAAATTTGGTGTCTCCAGCTTTCTTAGTTCTCGAGATCTCAGCGGGGTCAAATTGACCACCCCCCACCCGAGCGAAAGGTATCTTGCCGGCCACCCAGGCGCGTGTTAACAGTAATCAATGTATGCTTGGCAACATCCGTTTAAGCAGTACCTTTTGCTACGTTGATGGTCAGTTATTGGCTTATTTTCAGCATCAGAGCTTAAGAATAAAAAGGTGAGCTAAATGGGAAGATTTTTCTCACACTGAAAGCGAGCGCAACATGAACATTTTTAACGCCTGAAAATGTTCAAAAACGACAAAGGCGCTTACCATAGTGGGGATGATACCATAAGGTAAATGAGATAAGTAAAAGAGGAGACGGATGGGCGCGGCATCGGTTGCGTAATGACGTGAAGGCTGATGGTGCCGACCAGAAACGCTGTCCGGCCGCCCCCGCAGCCGCTCGGCTCTGCTGACCCATGGCGTTCACCCGTTCCTTGGGGTGAGCGCCCCGTACCTCACCCGGCGCGGGGCGCTCACCCGTCTGGTGCTGACCTAGGGCGTTCGCCCGTCCGGCTATAACAAGTGCTGAACAAGCCACAGCATTCTGTTTTAGGAACATACTGCCCAGCGTGATATTTGTCGCTTATTCAAATGCAAAACTCAAAGCAACCTTGCATGATTTTGGTCACCTTGACCTTCAAAATGTCAAACAAGGTCACTGACCTTGAATGAGACTGTGACCTTTTGCCTAGAAACGGTTATCTAGGCTCTGGGGGCACTTTGAAGACCGACTTGGAACTTGACCTTGTTTGACCTTTTTGACCAAAAGATCATGACCTAGGCACCTGAAATTTCGACCTAAGTGAGTTTACATACAGATGAACACACTCTGTAAATTTGGTGTCTCTAGCTTTCTTGGTTCCCGAGATTTCAGGGGAGTCAAATTGACCCCCACCCGAACGAATGGTATCTAGCCAACCACCCGGGCACGTGTTAATGCCCTCTTCAGATGTTGTCTTCGGCATCAGGTCTGGCCACCGATGCCACCATTGTGACAACTGCCAAACTGTGGTTTATTCAGGAAGTAGTACACTGTCGAACTGCACACCCATTCTGCAACACATGCAAAGGGCTCATTAGCTGGCAACTAGCCATACACCACATGCAGCCCAGGGAGCTAGCATAAGGGCATGCAGCATGCAGCAACGAGCGCGCCCACGACCACATGCACCAAGCAACCACCATGCAGGCCACTACCGCATGCGACATCAACAGTACACGCACAATCACCAAGTCATGCACATGCAACACGCCACAATAATTACTAAAAGGGGAAGTTGCAGTTTCTGGAGCGGCCCCTTCCATTCAGAAGCACACCAATAGTTAAAGTGAGGTTATTTTTCACATTTGGCACTTGCTTCAATGCCCTCATAGGTGGAACATTCGCTTAAAGTATTTTGTGTCATGTGTACTTTAATTCTATGAAAAATAATTCGATGTCACAAATCTTCAGGTAGCTTTGTTTAAAAATAGTGAACAGAAAGCAAAACGATTATTTTTGTGTAGTTGAAAGATGGTATGATTGCGGTGACATCAAACAGTCGTTTTACCAACTTTTACTAACCCTACAAAGAAGTGAGATTTGAGCGATATTTCCCAGGTCCCAGGTCTGAAAGGCCACGTGTATTTGTAATGTACCAGCAAGGGTGTTACCGAATTCCATTTTATAAGATAGACGACTCATTGTCCATTCCGAACTGAGATGCCATACGAATTCTAGAGTTGCGCATAAAAATACTAATAAAATGGTAATTTTGATCTACAAAACAACAAAAGTTTTAACACATGTCATGCAAATAGTTATTCTGAAATCTTTTTTAAATGATCATTCCATTCTGAAAGCGTTTCGTTTCCCTCTGAAATGATGCACGAGCATTTGTTTTCCTCTGGTGTGAGGTTGAACTGCTGTGTCTCCTTTGGCTGCTGTGTCATATGAGAAGCGTGCCTCTGGAACGCACTTAGCTTCGAGCTTTAGAGCATCGCATGACCTTTTTTACCGCTTCCTGGTGATCGGTGTGAAAGTTGAGGTACGACTTTTGTATTTGAGTTCCGTGCATACATAAATCGTTTGTAATCTAAATGCGCAAGAGGGTTTCTGTCTCGCTCTTCGAGGAACCCCATGCCTGGTCGTCATTTCATCATATCCATGAAGCCGGTGACTGTTAGCATGTTGGCAAAAAGACAACGCGGTACCATATCATTGAGCAATTTTATTGAAACCGGCAATAACATGCGTAGTATAGTAGACAAATCATGCCAGGTCATTGGCACACGACGTAGGTAACGCAGGCAGAAGAGAAACAAGCTGAATGATACAGAACGCTTGAAAATATGTTGTCCGACGGACATACAAACGAACCACCTTGAGCTGAGAAGGTTCTAGCGCATTTTACCGGGCAAGACGCTCCACAACGGTTGGGAGCCTGAAATCAGTTTACTCTCAGTGACTAGAGGTAGTAACACGATGCGACACATACAACAGTGACAGTAGAACAAGCCTCAAATGAATCGGCGCATGGGTACGATAAGATCGGATAGCGCGTTGCGAAATGGAAAAGCGATGGCTTAGTATGTGAACTAGCGGCATGAGGGCACAGAGATGATAGATAAGCGCGGTCTAGCGAAATGTCGGAGAACAGTAAGCCATAACATTTCGTCACAATTAGATCGTACTCAAAAGTGTGTAGGGATATTAGCCCCAGGAACGATGATACACTGAGCATGGCACAGCATTGATGAAATGAAGAGCCGGATACCGGACCACCTGAACGCATGTAACGCAGGTGAACAGTTTAAATGAATCGCAGCTGTTTGGCGAAGGCAAAATTACGGCTTTTATGCTAGCATTTTAAAGAGGGCCATGGAACCTCGAGGGAGGCCCTTGAGTTGTTTGAGTGCGGAACTGAAGTAAAAGGCAGGCTTTGAGGTAATAAGGCAAGTGGCGATAATGCAGACGCCCAAATAAGAAACAAGGCGCACGAGTAAAGAGCGAAAATGGAAGCTGATTGAACTGCTCAGACCTTAAACGCTGCACGGCGGCAAATGGAAGAAGGGCAAGAGCTACTCAGGAAGTCAGGAAGTGTAGGCAAGACAAAGAGATGCAGTCAAACATAAGATAAAACACTTAAGCTGAGACGTGTCTACATGTCACGACAACGTTGAGAATGAAATGTCAGGACAGACAAAGTGGTGAAGATTTGGTTCGCCTACGTCGATACCTATCTAATCACGTCACAACAACCCTAGCCGCGTAACATTCAACGACAACAGCAACAACGGCAACAACGTCAACTCGAGCGGATAACAGCGCGTTGGCCGCGGTTTGCCATCAGGAGACGGCGGCGCGGCCGGGCTCATCACAAGCGGGGTAGCCCAGTGTGGCGGCCGGGCGGCTGGCCCGTGCCTCTATCGCCGGCGGCCGGCGCTACTCTGTTGCCCACGAGTCCTCGAAGTCCTTCTGCAGCTGGTCCATCCAGACCGAGTGGTCGATCTCCCACTCGTCCGAGTCGAGGCCGCGACCGGAGGAGGACAGCGCGGCGCTGAAGGCGGCGGCGGCCAGTGCACCCAGGCCCAGGCCGGCGCACAGCAGGATGATGGGCAGGATTACTGCGGCACGGCATCACAAGGTCACGGCCCACCGAATCACAATGTCACTGAGCACGAAATCAAAACGTCACGGCGCTAACTGCGCACATTAGAAGCACCACTTCCGCAAATCAACAAAACAATGTCTACAACGAAACGTTCCCGGATTTTTGCTATTAGGCTTGATTAAAGCACCCCGTGACCAGCATTTGACCTCGGTTGCTAACCATGTCGGGCATTCGCTCATAGTCTGGGCCCCCACGTCAAAGCTTTCTCACGATCTTACAAGATCTCATGCCATGCCAACTGATCACCGCAGAGCAGTCATTTCCATATGCAAATGCGGTGTGCTGGAAGCGGTACGGAACAGTGCAGCAGAAATGCAGGTCGACGCAGGCTACACAACGTTGGAACTCGCGTCCGAAATTTAACGGCAATGACGGCCGACTCTCCACCTGCGGTTGGACTGAGGCTTGCGTTGCCGCGCGACCAGCCTAGCCTGCTGCCCACTAACTGCACCAGGAGGCGGCAGCGGACGGGACACGGGAACGGGGACGGCAGACGCTGACTCTCGGCTCAATTACCACGCGCCGACCACAGCGCACCGCACAGGCCCAACGTGCCTGCGGTCGTTCACCGCGCCGGCGATAGGTGGCAGCACTATCGCCAGTGGGCCACCAGCCGTCCGGCGTGTTTGGAACCGCTCGTGTGCTGCGTGGTGATGGTTGGATTCAGGTATTTGGGGCGTCATCGCGGCTAGCTCCAAGAGCAGCCTACTTCAGCTATGTCCTATGGAAGTACTTAAAGATGTAGTGAACTTTTTATAACGTTTACCCAATAATGGAAATCAAACTCACGGTTAACGCAAACCTAGCACTACCGCGAAAAAACACACGCTGGACGATCCACCAGCGTGCGACGGGCTGCCGCCGGATAAGAATTCCTGGCGTGGTGCCAAAAAACCTGCGTTCACGCGTCTCGAAAGAATAAGTCTCCGCGCAGCCCCGTGCGACCAATGCGCTGACTAGTCTAGGCACCTGGCGCTTTTTAGGAGTGGGCCAGCGATGGGCACGGCGTGAGCGCGCAGGGGTGACGGACCTACGGCTCGCCTGCGGCCGGCCGCCACTCACCGTCGCCAATGCTGAAGCCTCCCTTGCTGGGCCTGGGGTGGTAAGACTGCTGTTGGTAGCTGGGGGCTGAGTAGCCCGAGTGGGCGCTGCCGCTCGAGCCCGAGTCGTACGAGTCGTACGACGAGCGGCGGAAGAGGCTGCGGGCCGTACGGGTCGGTCAGTGGGACGAACTGCGGCCGGACCAGCTGGTGGTCGGAGGCGGTCAGAGAGAGAGAGAGAGAGAGAGAGGGGGGGGGGAGGGAGAGAGCAAGACGGAAATCGAGAGGAAAAGAGAGAAAAGCTAGTTGAGAGGAAGGGAGGGCGAAAAAGAGAGGGTATCTCGTGCTCATTTTGCATGCATCAGAAGTGGTACGCATTGCAGTCATCCGGACTGAAGCATGGTGTAGCGACTCATATCGGAGCACGGCCGCAGATCCCCGATTGTCTGTTAAGCCTCCAATATCTCGCCATCATCAAGCGTGTCAGAACTACATAAAACAAAGCTTGACTCAGGATGACCACACTGTCGTTAAGCCTGCCAGACTCCAGCCGGTGTCAGAACTACATAAAACAAAGCTTGACTCAGGATTACCACACTTGTCGTATAGTCTGACAGACTCCAACCGGTGTCAGAACTACATAAAACAATGCTTGACTCAGGATGACCACACTGTCGTAAAGTCTGACAGACTCCAGCCGGTGTGACGGCGGCAGGCGCCTGTACTCTCCAGCCATATCGCGTACATTCGACACATCTATGTACTATTTCGGACAGCATGAATATCGCATCAAGGGATGCCTCCCAAGCAGGATGTCGTGTGCTTACTTCTGGACCCATCCGAGGGGGCCTGAGTTGCGTTTGCGAGCCGGTGCCCTCTGGTAGTAGTTGTTGTACGTCTCAGCGCCGTCGTGGCCGGCATATTCAGTATCCCTCTTCTGTACCGATCCTGCAAGGGCCGGCATGAGTCAGCGCGCAACATATGCACATAATCCCCCCCCCCACACACACACACACTCCCCGGTGAAACTGCACCGCCATGCCTCGACAGTGACTCGCGTGTTGACACAAAGGCCCGCTAATTAGCGCTTGTCTTCGCGGGTCGCCTGGAAGCAATGGTGGGCCGCGGCTTCGTTAGCGGCAGCGCGGCGCGTCCGACCCACCGCGGAGCAGCCAGCGGTGGGTCATCCCCCCAGCCTCGGCGAAATCCGGCGCCCACAAAAACGGGCCGTCGCCGCACGGGGAAAGCATAGCGTCGACGCCGGCGTGGGACCGCCGACGCCGGCGTGGGACCCCGTCCCGGTCGCGCGTCCGCCGCCGAGCCAGCTCCTGCGGGCCGGGCCGGGCCGCCGGCCGCCCCGGGCACAGCCGCCAGCAGAGCGGCATACTGAGCCAATGGCCTCAAGCGGCCGCGCACGGCCGGATGCAAATGTGGCGCGCGCCGGCCTCATTGCAGAGTGGCGCGCGTTCGCGGCGGGCCGCGGTCTGGCATGACCAGAGCTCCTCTTGGAAGGAACGCGCAGTGTGTGTGTGGGGGGGGGGGGGGCGATGGACGGCGGATGGCATGACGTGTGTGCTCTGCCCGCATGGCACGGCGCGCCATGATCTGCCGAGGCCCACCGTTCCGTCGGGGTCCGTCGCTCAGGGGCCGGCCGGGGTGCATCGCTCAGCGGTGCGCCAGGTCGCGTCGCCCCAGTGGCAGTTTGGGAGGTGGGAGGTGCCCTGGGCACAACGGCACAGGCGGGCGCATCAGCCACGCGGCATGCGCTGACAAAGGCCTGCGTCCATGCGGGTCTCTCGAAAAGCGTCGCCTTGCGGGCGGTCCGGCCGCCACGCATAATCGGATGTTGGTGTTTGTGGCCCGTCTATCGGGGACGCCGGGAGGGGAGGGGAAGGGGTCAGGCCGCGCCCCGCCCTAGAACTCGCGTGTCCTGGAATGCCAGCCGACTCACTGCCCCAGATACCGGAGAACGGCCGGATGCGCCCCCACCCCCCACCCCGAGTGCTGTTTGGTGATTAGGTGATGCGTCAGCCGAGGGCGAGCCCGGGTCGATCTGAATTGCCAGGCGGGCGGCGTCTCCAAGTAAACACCAGTCCGTGCTTCAGACACCGAGAGACGCGATCAACAGTCGTTTCATGTCGACCGGAACCATCCATTCGATGAAGCGGAAGGAACCATGCGCTCGCCACCGAGAGTCTCGCTTCGCTGTTGTTATAACTGTCATTGCTGAGCGGCGTGAGGCGATGGTCAACACCATACAGCACCGCGTCAGAAGCGATTAGTGCCAACCCTCGTGATGTTTCTTGATAATACACCTCACCGCGATCGTTACGATGCATAACCATAAAACACGCCTTGTAATTTCGGTTCATCGTTGTTTCCCGCCCTGGGGTGGAGGTCCAGTGCACGCGAGAGCCCAGTGAGCTGGCGTGCTGTAGAGGCCGAGCCTCAACTCACTTAGCTGACAGCGCCGCGGAGGGCAGCAATATGTCCAATTTGTGTGCACGTCCGATATGCCAAATATGACATCCGGTCCCCGCATGACTGGCCACGTGTCTGCTTGGGAGCACCCTAGGCCCTGAGTGGCGACGCACCGTTGCAACGAAGCGCAAGGCGCACTTTCCTTTTCGGCCGGCGCTGTGAGCGGACCGCTCTCTCCTCTGGCGGGCTCGAGGGTGTGGACACGCGGCGCGAGAAATCTCTGCACATTGAGGCCACGCTTTCTTTGCGCCGGCAGGCGCGCGCTGCCCAGCCGCCGCCCCGGCCCCATCAACTGGGGCTGGCCGGCACTGCAGAGACCGCACTGGGCGTGGGGCAGAACCGGGACTGCGGCGAGAGGCCCCCACTGCCAGCTACCCGTCTGGCGGTGTGGCTAAGGAGGGAGGAGGAGGGACAGGGGGCTGTAGACCGCCTGTTAAATCTCATAGGCGCCTCCATCGGCAGTCACAGGCAGAGCTAAACAGCTGAAATTTAGTAACAAGATCAGCGGATAGCCGAGAGAACATGCAATGTTCGCAGGTGAAGCAAAAAAGCACGAAGGACAAACCAACGTCGGTAGTGGGTTGATACACTAAGTAGCAGATACTGTACCTGCCATTTGTGAGATCTGTTCGCCTATTCGCAGTCCTTAGACGCTGTTCATGGAGCTGGGACTAGCTCGTAGAGAATTAGTCCCACCTCACCCATCGCAAATTCGGGATGCCTTGGTATCGAGATGATGCCAGAAACCGTTCCCTCCTGAAGCCTGGAGCACTGAAGTGCCTGTTCGGCGTGCTAACTCTATCATGACGGGCTGTTTAATCTGATGTGTGATCTGTAATGGCGCAATGCAGAGGAACTTTCGCCGCCAACGGGATGAAAGCGGCGGGTGGCGCCTCGCAGAGACGGGCGCCTTCAGCCGCGCGGGGAGCCGGCGGGCCTCCGGAGCGCGCCGGCTCGCGCTGGTCATCACCTTGCTCGGCAGCCACGAACGCCAGCAGGCAGACCACCACCAGGCAGAGCTTCTCCATTGCAGCGGCCTGAAAGGAGGACACACGTTACGCCACACAGACAACGACCCACTTGCACTGCTGCATGAACAGATAGCGAAAGTGCGCCAACTGCTGTGAAGGAAGTCGGCTGAAGAGTGCTTAATGCTGCGTAGAGGCCGTGTTCCCTGTGACTACCTAACGGCCCGTGAATAACGGATGGCAGTGCTCGCCACGCGGCGGCGAGCACCGCAGACCCGCGCGGAACACGCCGCTGGCGACTACTGACACCGTCGTGCGAAGAAAGCCTCGTCCGTGGCTCGGTATTTGGCACAAGCGGTTAGTGGACCACACGCCATTGCGGAGAGGCTGCATATGCATGAGCGTAGCTTGATATTTCTGGCAGGAGTTGGCTCAGCCGTCAACAAGCTCTAGTTGAAAGCTCCATCTTTCTGTCAAGAGGGACGCGACGAAGGAAAGCTTCACTGCGAGGTAATCGAAGTAGGAGCATTGCTAACTTACGGTGCACGGGAGCGATGCTTTGCTTGCATCATAGCCATGTACCAACCAGGCATTATTCTAAGGCTGTGTATCTCAACAAAAGCAAAAACAGCCTAAGCGAACAATCAATGGCCACGCAATCTGCAGCCTAGAATGGGGAAAACTTGCATAAAACTAGCATAACTCAAACTACTCGGCTATTTTCGAAGTCAGCACAGAGCCAACCACCCTGATCAGGTAATCACACGCAGAAAGTGCTGGGCAAGTTGCATGTGCCCAGCGTAATGCTAATTATAAATAAATGACGTCTTGACTTTCGGGAGTCACGTGATAAGGTACAGAGGAAAGTCAAAAATACTCATAAAAAGGGAGAGACAAAGAAGAAAAAAGTTAGTGAATCGATGGTATCGTTGTGCGCATGGAAAGAGGCAAACGAGCAGATGACAGAGATGGCTCTGAAAGCGGGGGATTAGTCGTGCATTCGCTAACACACTCTTCAGAAGAGAGAGAGAGATTTAGAGAGAGAGAGAGAGAGAGAGAGAGAGAGAGAGAGAGAGAGAGAGAGAGAGAGAGAGAGAGAGAGAGAGAGAGAGAGAGGGAGAGAGAGAGAGAGGGAGGGAGAGAGAGTAGACGGGATAGGAGAGAGTTTGCAAGCAATGCTGCATGGACAGCACCGCCCAGTCAGCGAAATCTGTGCCGAACTCCGTGTAAGTACCAATGACAAGGCCGAGAGAGCTGCCTGGCCCACATGTGGTCGCCCCCCCCCCCCCCCCCCACCCGTTACTCATGGCTGGTGAAATTTTCCGGCACGTGTAATGCAGCGGCAACAACCCACCACCGGCAGCAGTAGGATTGATTGCTTCGCCGCGGCAGCGGAAGCAGCTGCTACTTAAGTGGCCGCGAGGTAATCAGGTATCGAGGACGATTGTTATGCGCGAGGAACACGAAGCGAAAGTTCTCGGCCCTGTCAGGACGTGCTACTTCAGCGCAAGCTCGCTGAAATCGGTCTCGACTGAGACTGATCGGTCTTGATTGAGACTGACCGGTCTTGATTGAGACTGATCGATTGCATGGGCGTGCACAACTCAATATATTTTAGTGTGGCTTTTAAGCATAGTTACTCATGCCGGAAAGCACGTGCATTAAGGCAGTTAGATGCGGACGGAGAGATGATTGGTTAGCATTAACAAGAGTGCAGCATCCAGCACATGCATCCTTCCCGTCATTCGCTCCCTTCATGTATCAGGGTGATTGATAGTGTTTGATGCTTGGAAACCAGTTTACAGAAACCAGCTTTTGCCGCTTATACTGCCATCTGGTAGCAAAACTTAAAATGGCAAGTAAGTGATCTCACCGTCTGGCACCTGACACTTGCCAATGCAAATTTAAAGTGCAAAATTGAAAGAATACGCCATCTAACCATCAATTGGACATTGCTTTTACTACGATTCCCAGAAGTCGCTCCTATCAAAACCAAAAATTCCTAGGCACGTGTGAAGATAAAGTTTGGGAATGAATAGCCCAATCTCATCATATCCACGTCGGCCTTGTGAATATATTATGCATAGTTGCGCAAGTAGCTTACATATCTTAGATTCAAATATTCGGACAAATTCCTCCAAAGGTGAAATTCAATAGTCAGAAATGCCAAAACTGCAGCTATGATTCGAAGCCAGTAGCTGCAAGTTTCTTCCAAAAGAGTGCAGCACCATCTGTATCTGGATAGCAGATGGCGCAGCGGTCGCCTCTGGGCTCCGCTATCGCTCACGAAAACCTCGCGAGGCGGGGAGGGAGGGAGGGGGGGGGGGGGGCAGCGCGCGATCAAGTCGTGCGGGCGAGCGTGACTTTGCAATGCACGTCATGCAGACACCTGCTCTAGCTGGACTCGCACGGGCGGCGGCAGGTGGGAAGCGGTGTGTCCTCTCACCCGTGTCCATCCCACCGAGGCATGGGTGAGCAGCGTGCTGCGATCGACGGCTCTGCGAACATGGGTCTAGCGTGGGAAGGAGATGTCAGTTTTTGCATATGCGGCATATCTCGATCGGGCGTCTCAAAAAGAGATGTAATTGTGCTATTAAGAGCTAAATGCGCGTCGAAGGAAGGTGAGATTCGCTGGGGTGGTTATGGTCGCTGCGGTGGTTACGGTCGCTGCGAGTTACGGTCAGATGCAGTCACGTTCAGGTGCGTTGCAGAAATGGAACTATTAGTTGACATTACCTTAGCCTTGCCTTAGCCACCTGGTTTCCTCCGACGGCTTAAAGCACAATTACTACGAATTGGAATATTTGCCGTTCGATAATTGCGAACTGAATGCAAGTTATTAGTTAAAGACATCCTTATTTGTCAAATAGATCAAAGCACGGGAACGTAATACCATCACCGCTTAAAATTTCGGAGAGCATTGGATGAAAGTAGTAATGGCCTAACGCGATAAGTTGTGAAGAGAACGACACACACAAGCTCTGAAAAACAAATAGCATGATGACATGAACAGGGCCAGAAGAAATCAGACGAACGCTGCATGTTAAAAACACGCAGACACCATATTATCCGGTGCATGAGCCACCGACCTAGTGCTGAGCATGTGAATCTCCACACCAAGCGCCGCGCTCTTGCCGGCCCTGGTTCGAGCCCCTCATCACCTGGCTCTGAGCAACGCAACAAATTCAAGTATAAGCACAGCTCGTGATGGCCATTACCTACGAGGGGTCGCCTCACACACCAGCTCGTTACACATCGTTAATACGCAGCGCCGCCGCGAGTCTGTTGCAGCGTCTGGCGTCCTACTAAAGCCGCGCCCGCCGGACGCACGAGCAGCTCGTGCCAGATCTACGGTTGCCGCGATAGGCGCCTAGCGGTCACACGACAGGTGTCTAGCGGTCACGTGACAGACGTCGTCGCTTCGCGGGGTTGCAGGGCGCGGCGGAAGGTTGGCGTGTCGCGCCGCGGCCCCAGACGTATTGCTCTGCCGGGGGCACCGCTAGAGAGACGGCGCGGAGGGTTCCCGCTGCTGAGCAACAGCAGCCCCGTTATCTGCCGGCCTGGCGCGTCTGCGATGGCCGCCGTTATTGCGTGCACGGGCGGCGGGTGCCTGTCAGGGCCGGCCTATGGTGAAGCTCGGCGCTACGGGCGGGTTAGGCGGGAGCCGCCGCCGCTCCTGAGCGGCCTCGTTTGAGTGGAGGAGTTGGCGTCAGCGAGGCCGCAGCCGCCACCCGGCTCGCGGAGCTCAACTGACGCCTCGTCGCTCACTGGATGGGGTCGTTCGTCTCCTCATATACACAGATGCTATTTTTGAATGACTGTGAAATGCCGCACAAACTTTCTACTGGATTTTGATTTAGGTTAGATATATGTTCTCACCTAAGAAATTTTGGAGCAATATGAAAGTTTGCATCCAAGTAGGCTTATAAACAGTGCGAATCTTAGGCCGTTTATCTTTCTAAGTAACCAAAATACCAGAATACTGCAAAACGGTCGAAGCCGTTTTCACAATCGGGATTTTTCGAGCTGGGCACCTCCGACTGGTGTCATGGTCCGACACCCTCCACCGGTGAGGAGAAGAGGGGAGGGGGGGGGGGAGCGGCGGCAGCGGCGCGACGCCGTCGGTGCTGACCGTGACTAGACGTCACCGGTCATCCGTGCAGGCGGCAGCTAATGACAGCGCGTCACGTCACGGCCACACCGTCACGCTCGGAGATCCCCATCACGTCGCTCGTGCTCGGCTGGCAGCCGCCGGCGCCGGCTGTCCATTAGGTCTCTGAGCAGGGGCGCGCCCAGAGAGGGCAACGGGGCACGCCCTAACGGCGGCCAGGGGCGTCGTTTGAAAAGGACAGTCTTAGTACTGGGCCGCGGTGCGCGGCACCGCTCCCCGGCGGCGAGCGGCGCCGCTCCCCGGCGGTGTGCGGCGTCGCTCCCCCTCCCCAAAGGTTCACATCTCTCGATGCGCCGATGGCTGCCGGCATTGCAAGTCATGGCCAGTCCCGTGAAATTAGCTGCGAAACATTTAGGTCTATGTGTAGTCTGGAGTATTGGTGCACCCCGCTTCCGATTAGCACGCCTTTAGTGCCGTCAAGCGAACTGATGCTTTCTTTGCAGCACCCCTGGTCGGCAATCGGGAAACCTTCGCAGCCACTGGCGAGGCCCGATGAAAGCGGAGCGTTTGTATGATGATCATACTGTTAACAAACTCGGTAATGAAAATGAAGTACTGACGCTGTAACTTGTGGTTAGCAACGAACTATGTCATCAAGTCTTCTCAAGGATAGACAGACAGCTTTCTCCAATTCTATCTTAACACTTGCCTTTCGGCGTTGATGGGTAGCTGATTATTGCACAGAAGAGAAATCGGGTGGACATGTAATGAGAAGTGCAGCGGCATAAAAACCTGAGGTAGAAGGCGAGCGAGAGAAAGAGAGAGAGAGAGAGAGAGAGAGAGAGAGAGAGAGAGAGAGAGAGACAGAGAGAGAGATAGAGGAGATATAGGAGAGATAGATAAGAGAGAGAGAGAGATAGCGAGAGAAGAGAGAGATAGAGAGAAGAGAGAGAGAGAGAGAGAGAGAGAGAGAGAGAGAGAGAGAGAGGGCGCACGAGATTGGCCAGTTCTATGATACGCGTTTTTCATATTGTTTGACAGCCCCCGGCTGTGGTATGGCGAGCTTCTCCTCACACGGCCGCCAGTACCCTTCGCAGCGTTCATGCTGAGTCGGCTTCATCGCCCGTCCCCACGCTTGGAAAACCCAGCGACACCGACGCCTGACTTGCAAACCGTGACGGC